CAATTATTGTTTGGAAAATTAGTAGGTGTTTTATTATATTTAACGTCATCATTAATGTTATCATGTACTATCATTACTTAATTTATTATTATTATTATTATTATTATTATTATTATTATTATTATTATTATTATTGACAAACTTTGTTTAAATAGACGTTTTGTAAAATTTAAAGTTGTTTTAATTATTTTTTATAAAAAGTTTAAAATGAATTAATATACTGGTTTTATGAGATTTCAAATAAATTGTAACTTGTACCTCATTATATTGATATACTATAAAGATAGTCTGAAATTTATATCAATCAATAATATGCAAGATAATTTATTATTTTTTTATCTCTTCAATTAACTCCAGGTAAAATTTGTTTAATTGTCAAAAAATAATATTTAGGATGAAAATACAATCAATCTAATTAAAAAAGAATATGATTAAGTGAAATTACAAACACAAATAGAAAAAAGTAAAAACTGTTACAAGTGATATTAATTTTTTTTGGTGGAAAACAAAAATTTTGTGCATAATTTTTTAATCAAAACTGTAGGTGGGTAAAATTTTTAAGATTAAAAAAAATAGAGGGAAAGAATCTTAGTTTTATTAAAATGAGAAAATGTTTTAAGTTTCTTGTTGTAGGAAACTGATACTTTAACGAGAAAATAAGTATTGTAAGTAATTTTGGTAGAGAAAATAAGTATTGTAAGTAATTTTGGTAGAGAAAATAAAAAAGATAGAATAAGAAGGATATTATTTAAAAAATGTTAAAAAAATTATTATAACCCATAAAAATTAATAATTTTTATTACTTTATGTATCACAACTTTACATATCATATATTATTTAAGATTTTGTTCTACAAATAAAAAAAAATAACTTTCCTAATTTATATAAAAAAATATATTTAGTAAAAAAAAAACTAATACAATCTTAAATTTTACCAAAAAAATTCAAATAAATTTGTTGATGAAAAAGTCATATATTAATATTGATAAAGAACGGGAGTATTATATATTTGATCTTATCATGAAATGAAAGGAGTTGTGTGAACCGCAATGTGGTGGGCGTTGAACAGAAAGCAAAAGATGGATGGATTGCATTGAAGACATTGCCATTATTAATGTTGCCGTGTCTTGGTTCCGATGTTCGTGTTCCCTTTACTCAGAAATACATGTTTCACATTTGCACATAAATAAACAAACCTAGCAATAATGGTTCAGGAATTAGTTGAAGAAGTCACAACGAACAAGACTAATAAATAAAAATTAATGGAGACATTATTAATGATTTAGGTAGTAGGTGGACAACCCATAAATTGTGGGGCACCTTAGACACTTGTCCATGTTTTAAAATTGGATGGTGAATATTTGACCATTCAAACAAAATAAACAATAGGTAGTCAAAATCAAATCATTTTAAAAATAAAATAAAGTAAAAATAAATTAACATTGATCTATTAAGTTTGATTTTTTATTTATTTAAGAATCATTAATTTGAATTTAAACGAAATTATAATAAATATTTCTGAAATTAAAATATAAGATAATATTTTATATAAGCGAGTCAATTAATTTCTCATAATTTGATATGTATTGCTATTTTTTAAATTAAATATAAAAATATATATAAATAAATGAAAACTATAAACATCATAATTAATTATGTATGATGTTATATTTTTATTAAATAATTATTTTATTATAATATATTTAATAAATTTATAAAAAAAAATCATTCAAACGATAAAATATTTTTGTTTAATATCGAATCAAATCAAATCTCAGTTAAATTTTGTATTTGGTTCTTTTATTTGGTTTGAATGAGTTTTTAGTATAAATCCGAAATAACAAATAGACAATCCAAATTTAGATTGTCCATTGATTATTTAATTTTGAATCAATCAAGTTCTTAAATTTGGCAGTTCAAAATTATATCCACGATCAAATCTTTCACTTTGTTTATATATCAAATAAGTGTTGTTAAAACATGTAAAATAAATTATAGGAATAAAAAATAATTTTTTTATTTTTAATATTAAATAGATCTCTCTTTTAAAATAATAAACATATATAAATAAAGTAGTTCATGCACTAACCATCGTGTACAATATAATAAAACCATGTGTAAAGTGGTAAACAAAGACTACAGAAATAAATTTATATTTAGAGGCAAATCTGATATAAGTGATCTAAATTTAAAATCTTAAACAAATATTTAAGTTAAATATAATAAGTGATTTATTTAATCTAATTCATAATATGAATGGCAATTTTTATAAAATTAAAATTTATAATACATTAATGTTTTTAAATATATAAACTCGATTTCTATATTTCAAATAAAAAAATAGATTATGCCATAAAAATATTTTTAAATATTACAAAGTTATTTCTAACGCTAGTGATATTGAATTTACTCATAAACATAAAAAATGATAGATTTATGATACAAACCAACCAGTGGAGCCAGACCCAATAAGGAAGGATAATCCAATAATAAGGAAACGAACAAGAAAGAAGCCAGCGTGGATGACTGATTATGTCTGCGGACAAAATTAGAAGATCCTCCGAAATTCTGCTGCAAATTATTAGTTTAATTCCTGTTTTATTTCCCTAATTTTTGCTTAATTGTTAGCACCCAATTCCTTTTAATAATTATGATGTAATCAAAACATAACAGAATAAAAGTTTTCAAGATCTTTTTCCCCCAAATTCTATTATTCTCTTTTCCTTAATTTTCTGAGGAGTGGACACTCACTCGAAGAGTGTTAAAACCTTTGAGCATTTTGTAGCAGAGTGTATCAATTTACTACAAAAATTACCATAGGTAGCTACTCATATTTATAATGATAGTAATATTTTTGATAATGAAGAAGAAAGAGTGATTGAAAAATTACTTTTTGATGATTCCTTAATTATAAGATAACTAGGTAGTTGTGTGAGCAATTTATGTAAAGCCAAATAATCTAATCTTTTGTTAAAATAAAGAAGGTAAAAAGATAAAAATAATAAATTATGTTAAAACTAAATCTGTATTAATCAGTTAGATAAGTAGTTAATCGATTATATAACTTATATTCATATTTCATAACACGCACTAATAATCGATTATGTGGTCACTTAATTGATTGTGTGTCTAAACCTATGTTTTGACATAACGCGCTAATAATCGATTATATTGGTACATAATCGATTATATAACTTATTCTAAGTTAGTCAAAACAGATCTTTACTCTATAAAAGGGTGTAAACTTTCTTCAATTAAATATATCTTTTAGAAACAATTAAAGCATTAAAAAGAAACGTTGTGAACATCAAGAAAACGTTTGTAATTCTATACAACATTTTGAAGAAAATCAAATTCAAAGAAGAGATTACTTGGTTATAGGATACAGTATTCCAAAAATCTAAAGTTAAATCATTCTTGTCTTTCTCTTTGTGAATCTATATTGTATTTTGATGTATGTGAGGTGAGCTACATCAAATTCGCTTCAAAATTGTGAGGATAAACATTTTCAAGTGTTGTGATTTGTTTTTAGATCTTGATTAAAGGTTGTTGTAATCAAGATTTGCATATTAGGTTGTAATATGGTTACTAAACAAGTTTTAATGAAAAATCCAAGCTAAGGTTGCTTGGTTGGACTGAATGTAAATTTGAAAGAACCGAACAAGTGTAAACTCCTTTGTTCTTCTCTTTTTTTCCTTTATCTTGATATTCTTGTGATCTTAATATTATTCTAGTTCTTTTAGATGTGATTGTCAGAAAAAAAAAATAATAATTGATTAGATTTGAAAAGGATCTACAAATCCAATTCACCCCTTTTGGGTGTGTTTAAACATTCACATTTTTCTAACAATTTTTTTTTATACGTTTGATTTATAGTAATATATCACTCAAACATTTTTCATTCGGTTGAATTAATTTTAAATATTATTTAATGGATTAAAAATACTGATTTAAGTATAATTTTTTCTTCATAAGTGTAGGCTATAGGAAAAATAATACACATATCTTAACATATTAATTATATTAATAAAATAAATATAAAACTATCAAAGTGGGTGATTTAGTCAAGCTTTTATGAACTAAAAAAAATTGTGATGCAATCCGATATATATTTTAAAATGGAACAAATTTTTTAGTTTAGTTTTACCCTACGTTGGGCCAACAGGATAATTGGTCAATTTTGACCTGATTAAATTTAAAAAAAATATTATCATATCTATACCCAATCAAATAATTAAAAAAAATAAAAAATAAAAATATATTCTTAAAATTTAATTTTTATTAGTAATATTAGTTTTCATTTAAGATATAATAATTTAATATATAAATTGTAAGAGAATATATCCGTTAAATATCAAAATAAAAATTAAAAACTTATTTTTCAATATCATTATTTATTTTTTAGTAATTTATTAATTTAAAATTATAATTAATCTTAATCATTAGGAGAAATTTATTCTAATATTTATTTTTAGAATTAGTGAATTTCTTATTAAATTAATTTATAATACATCTATCTTTTTAATAAAATAATTTTATTTTTATTTTTATATTAAAAATAATTATATTTTATAAAATAAGTTTACCTATAGGTTATCCTTACCTAAGTCCATGTAGATCTACAAAATTTTTTACCTAGTCTGATTTATTTCTGGGACCGAAAGATCCTATTCATGCTAAATTTATTTTTACACCCACTGATTTTACCATGATGAAGCTAATATTTAGTTTAATAATAGGTGTTTTCTTTTACCTTGATCTTGTGCATTCAAATTTGGACCATGACTTCGGAAATTTTTACATAAACAGTTTATCTGATATGTATGCAAGTATAGAGCAATCGATTATAAATTACTCTAGAACTAGCTTTTTATTTGAATTTTAATGTTGTTATGATAAAATTAACAAGCTTGCATTGATGACATATTAGTTATTGACGATACATACATGAATCCATATAGAAGCTAGGAATCTCAACTATTACTCATTCACTAAAGTATTCAGTTGATCAAATTCATGCTGAATTCCCAGAGTTTCTTAGCCAACTCAATGTCCCTTCCTTGTGAGCTTGCTTTGGAGATTTTACTATCTGCAAAATACTTTCCACTAATTCCCCTCACTTCAGGGTGCAATGCCACATAACATGTTGTTGCTGCTCCCTACATAAGATGTTTGTTAGATTAATATAAAAATTTAATCATCAAAGTAACGGAAGGTCCATTATCACATTTGTTGTTAAAAAGTACATAAGATGACTGAGAGTGAAAGTGTATATAAACTAGTATTGATCTCATATTCTTAAAAAAATCTTTACAAACATACTGACTTATTTATAGACTATAGTCGTATTGGTTTAATAAACTTACCTGCTGGACATTTTTAACTGCAAAACCCAGCAATATCTTCAATACACCTGCAAGTCCTGCATAAACCATGCAGAAAAATGCACATAGAACTTAACTTTACTGTCATTCATGGGAAAATACTTGGAAAACAAATTGTTGAAAAAAAATGAGATAAAGACAACATGAATTGATTTAGCAAGTAAGCTATATTGTAGTTACCAGCATGACAGTTGTAACGATGAATTTTGGTGGTAACGGCTCCTGGATGAAGAGAATTAGCAGTAATATCTACACCATCGTCCTGATCACCATGCAATATCAAAGAAGTAATATGACATGTATCAAACACCTCTAGGCAAAATCTGAGGGTGTTTTTTACTCACAAGCATAAAAGGTAAGTCACCAAAACAAAGAGATAAAAGAAAATATCTTATGAAGCAACATTTAGTACACAACTCGCATGATAGAGGGACTAGCAACCAGTGCTCTGAAGACAAATACTGTTGGAAATCAAGAAATGCTAGACCAAAAACTTGCTAGATTCTGACAAGGTACTTAACTTACACACAGCACAATGAACAAAATGAGATATGAGAACAAATTTAGTATAAATAAGAGATAGTCTTCCTTACAATACATAAAGCTACCAACAATTCATCTGCAAAACAAACTGTCTAAATAGACAAAACAATATTTTGAAAACTATCAAACCACAAAGTCAATGTATCACGGTTCAATTCCTTCAACAGACGGACCATTAGCATTGGATAATCTAAAAAATTTCAAGATTGGTTTCCAAACAATAAAACAAATTATAAAATCATAGTAAGATTATTAGGCATAAGGAGTTATTAGTATGATACTTGTGAAAAAGAAATCGACAAAAAAGCTGGTTAGGATGATTTGGACTTGTGTAGTAGACAACTTCTAATTGCTATCAATAGTTAACCAGCTAAATGCTGCATGATAGTTAAAAACACTTTTGACTGAACTTTCACCATCTGGCTCGGGAATTAGGATACAATACCATAAATGTTAGCATACCTTAAGACGTCTTGCAAGTTCATTGGCATGTAAAATATTTGCAAGCTTTGACTGTCCATACGCACGGAATTTCTGATAACTGCACACAAAGAAGCAAAATTAGTAAACAATACAAAACACATGTGCTGACTAACACTACAGTGAATCATGTTTGTATGCTTAAATGCAGCAATATGGTTTTGTCTTAGTAAAATCTATACTTCATTGAGGTGCATCAAAATTTATCTGCAGGTTGTGTACAGACTTAAATCTGACACACTCAATGAATGGTAACAGAAAATCCTTACATAGTAATGTGACACCTAATGCCACACATAAGCCAACCAAAAAAATGAATATCACAAACTTATGATTGACAGTAGCATTCATCTTCTCTTTGGTTAAATAAATGTTAGAACTGAAATCCCAATGGTAATCAAATTTGTATCTACAGCAATCATTCTTTCATTGAAAAAATCCTAGAAGAACAAGTCTTGGTTGATTTTTCAATCAGTGGATCAATCCCTCTTCCGCAAAGAAGAAAGAAATTGCCAGCATAATTCATCTTAATTTGTAATTGGACGACTTCTTACCTTGATTTATCATTAATTTTATCAAAACGGATTCCTGCACGATAGCTGCATCGATGACCAGCAGAGGAGACATTAATAATTCTTCCTTCTTTCTTACTTTCAAGTGTTGTTTTCTTCATAGTATCCAACAGAAGATTTGTTAAAAGAAAATGCCCTGCATGTGGTATTATGTCAAACATAAACAAGACAAATACGCTATTTTCCTCATCTTCTCAGCCTATGGTGCTTTTATAGATACATTAGAAGAGTTATATGATGTTTTATATAAACTATTATATGCTGAGGCACATCATAAGTGTAGAAGGACTACAGTAAGATTACATGTATCAATGATTTTCAATCCGTTCCTAGGAGAGAAAAGAGGTTTCACATTGGATTCCCTACACTCAGGAAACTTCATTACCCTGATGTTTCATGTTTTACCCTAAACCTAATATTCTTGTGAGCTCAAAAGAAATATCTCATGTTATGAAACATTTGATAGTTTCTACATACCTATGTGATTTGTGGCAAATTGCAGCTCAATGTTGTCCTTAGACAGCATGAAAGGGGTTCCAAATATACCTGCATTGTTTCTTACATTGCAAAAAATAACCACAAAACATTATTACTCCATTGTTTTCTTGGATGATTATAATTAAGATAATTGCCAAATTTGTTTTAAACACAAGAACTGTATAGTTTTCATTTTCTTAATTCTTAGAGTTCTGATCATTTGATATTTTTCTAATATCAGAAGAACGTATGTGAAAGGAGTACAAGATTGAACCGACAATGCTGTTAAATTAAGATATCAAACTATGTGATAAAATAGCCATTGCATAAGACGATGCAATAGATAGTTAGAGAAAATAGGAAATGAACCTTTATATGAAATTTTTTGACAATGTGGCTTGTGTGCACTTACATCAGAATGTTTAATGGAAGACCAGATGAAATGAACTCTGATGCAAATTTTCTAATAGATGCCAATGAGCTTAGGTCTAATTCCATGGCATCAACTTTAGCTGAAGGAATCTCCTTAAGTATTTCTTCTCTAACATCTTTTGCAGTCACCATATTTCTCACCCCCATAATCACATGAACACCACGCATAGCAAGAACACGAGTAGTCTCAGCACCAATACCACTGCTTGCCCCTATGGTTGTTACAGTGTTCAAAACCAACCAAAATGTTAAGGTGAAGGAACGTAAAAAAATTGTAAATTTAATAAGAATTTCCTTGGTTTTTTTTTTCAATTTTTGAAGTGTTTCAAGATTAAGGTTTTTCCAGAGTCAGTAAACTCTTGAAATTAAGAAAAGTTGGCTATAGCTGGAGCGGTTTTATAAGAATAATACTCAGTGTGCTTGAGAAAATGGTAAATTGACTTCATTTAAAATGATATAGAAAATATTTTAAGGATAAAAGAAATAAAAAACGAGTTGTAAAATTAAAATTAAAAAATGTAACTTTCTTTTGGGCTTTGATAATAATAACCGTTGGGCCATACTAGACTTCCTTTTGGGCTTGCGAGGCTTACAGGGTTTGGTGCAGTGCATCATGGGGTTTGTTTGATCATGCATGCATATAAAATTTAAATTATGGCTGATATTTATATATTAATTATGATTAATTTTATATTATCGTAAACTGTTAATTATAATTAATTTTACACATTTGACCTCTGATTTTTTGTAATAAAATAGAAAAACATCTAAAAAAATTAGATGGTTTCCCTATAATAAATTAGAAAAATTTATAAATATTTATGAGCTCTAATCCCGATATAATACCATGTATCTTTAATACATTTAACCTATAAAATATTTCTTATAAAATTATTATGATATGAGAGAATTTAAACAATGATGAGACATTACAATCTCTCGCAGAGTGTTACGATGGAAAATGTTTGGCATCGGTGTTATCATTATAAAACTTGCAATCATCGTCACTTTTAAAATGATTGGAATTTTGGAAGGAGATAAAGTTTAACATTTAATAAAAATAATAAAATTAAATAAAAAAATCACCATCAAATATAATTCTTCGACTTACTTGACCCTACCATGTCCTCCAAAGCTAACTGATTCTTTAACACGAGGAAGACGAGAAATGAAGCATCGATTTGTCAGAAAGAAAAGAAAGAAAAAGTGAGGAACCTGTAACAATAGCAGTGAGGGAAGTGGCATCGATTCCTCGAGTAACTTGTTCGGCAGTGGAAGAAGATGAAAATGCAGAACCCCCTCTTCTGCACATGCTGTGTTATTTTGCTCCGTCTCTGAGTCAAAACTCTCACAAAACAAAATATAAAACTCAATACATAATCTTCAATATATATATATATATATTGAACCTATATGCTATATTTTCTAAATATCTACTGATGATAACGACTCCTCAACTAATTTGTTCGCTGAATTATTACAAAACTGGAAGAGTGATGTCTCAAATATATTCTTTGTAATTTTAAGAGGATTCTTGTGTTTAAATTATTCAAAGGACATTGCATCATCCTTCACCTAAAATATCAGGAGACGAGGTTATAAGTATTTTTTATTTATTTTATAAGTTATTTATCTTTCCTTTTTTTTTTTTACGAAGAATTTATTGGTAATTAATATATATATTGCATATCAGTTTCACGTCTAATCACATTAAAGGAGTTCGTATCAATTTGCAGATATTTGGTGTATTATTGATATAATTACTCAGTCATGATTTCTCGTGTGACGTTCAACAAATTTGCTAATATATTACAAAATATTCAAGATTTCTATAATTTGTAACTCATCAAATAATCCCTAATCTTATTAGTTAAAACATTCGTATTTTTTAATATATATATATATATATATATATATATATATATATTTACACCCAATTTCTATTAATTTATTATTTTTAATATTATAATATTTGATCCACGAAAATGGTTTTTTAACACGTTATCCACTAATCAATTAAAAAAAAATTATAATATTAAAAATTCTAAATAAATAAATAAATATAAAATTCTCTCTTATTTTAAACATGATAATATGGTCATTATTTTTTTTATGTATTATCTGTTTTAAAATTTTATTATATATAATAAAAGTGTCATGTCTTTATCTTTATTATGATAATATTATTAAAATTAATTATTATGTTTAATGTATTATTCATTTTAAAACTTTAATTCATAGTTTTGTTCTTAAAAATATTTTTATGAATTAAAAAAGAAAAATATATATATAAAGATCCTTAATTAAGATCAAAGATATGAACCCATGTTGTAATCAACAAAAGATCTCATGTGATCTTCTACATGCTACAAATAAAAGATCTCATGTGGTCTTCTACATGCTACAAATATATTTTTTATTAAGTTTCGAGAAACTATCATATATTATAAGAGATTCGTGACTGATATTCGAGACATGACTCACATCATAATCAACAAGAAACCCCATGAATTCCTCAATATGTCATAAAAAGATTTTTTATTGAGATTTGAGATATGATTATATTACAAAAGATCCTTGATTGAGATCCCAAACATGACTCATATTATACTTAACAAGAGACCCCACGCAGTCCTCGTCGTGCCACAAAGAGATCTTTTATTGAAATTTAAGACATGGTCATATCATAAGAGATCATCATAAGAGATCATTGATTGAGATCTAAGGTATGACCCAAAATAATGAGACCCAACGAGGTTCCTGATGTGTCACAAGAGATCTTTGATTAAGATTCAAGACATGACCCATAATGACAAGAGACCCTACGAGGTTCTTAACGTGTCACAAGATATCGTTGATTGAGATTCGAGATATGGGCGACACTAACCATATTTGAGACCTTACGAGGTTTATCAACTCAAGATCTTATGATATCCATAATGTGATAATCAGTGACTCGATCTATGACTTTCATCATCAACTTAAAACTCTGAGATCCATAATGTAGCTGTTAATTACTTGACACATGAATTTTGTCATTAATATCATACTCGTTTTGGTAATATTTATTGATATTATGACAATTTTTGACATGAATTTAAGTCTTAATGTCTTTACCTCGAGGCTGAGTAGTGTTGAATTACTAATCTTGGTCTTTTACCAATTTAGGATTTAAGCCTTAGTCTCAAGATCGAAGAGTTGTGTAATCTCTAATCATTAACCTCGGTCATTTGTTGATCTAGTGGTTGGCATTTTAATAAGAAAGTTATGATATTATCACATTTATAATTTAAAGCAAGTGATATATATGTCATCGTTTCAAACTACTAATAGGTGACATGTGTCATGATAAATCCTACCCTAACAACAATGTGTAGTTTAAGTATAATATTTTAGGGAATGTGTAGTGTTTAGGTATAGTTAGAATGTTACCGAATACAATGATCAATATTTTAGTTTTTATGATTTTATCTTAAAACTAGAAGGTTGCGTAGTATCTAATCATTAGTCTCATTTTTTTCCCGATCCTAGTGATCAACCTTTTAAGGAGAATTATTGATATTTTAATTATTTTTTATAAGAGTTTAAGCTTGAACGTCTTCCTCTTAAGATTAAGGAGTTATGTATATCTAAATATAATCAAAATATTATCAAGTTATAGGTGTAGTATCTAAACTTTTTTACTCTACCTTAATGCTGAAGAGTTATGTGGTGTTAATCCTTAGATATTGATTTTTTTTTATAATTGAAGTTGAATAATTAAAACTATATTCAGAATCTGATAAAAATCATAAACCTCCTAATTTTACATAAACATAAAATAATTTTCACGATTTTTATGTTACTAAAATCATTTAATATATATAATGTCAAGATAGCAAAATGCAAATCATTAAAATTAAACCTAAATTATGATAACTTAATAAAATGAACCTTTATGTTTAGGTAAAGGATAAAGTTTTACTCAATCAAATTTAGTCAAGATTCCTATTATTTTTTCTATTTCAAGTAAGTGAAACTTTTATTTTACTTTTACATTAACAGAACTATTTGTCGAATATATGTAGTTTTAAATAACCGTACGGGGAAGGAGTAATTTTAAACTATTTGAAGCCTTTCTATTAAAATGTTATGTTGATTAATTTTATTATTATACTTAAAAATTTAATTAGGTATGTGAGTATGCATATGTTTAGCCATAGTTAAATTTGGTCCGCCAAACATAAATGTTATAAATTAGATCAATTTAGAAATATTTAGTAAGCAAAATTATGTTATTTAGTAAGTTTAGGAATTTAAAAGTTATATGTCTACTTTACAATTGAACTAGAAATTAGTCATTTACGGTATTTTTCTATAAAAATATGAATATATTATAATCATTTTTACATCCACTTTAACACTATTGGAATATTCCATTATTTTCTAAATAAATTATATTCTCATCAATTTTATAACATAATAATCATTCAATCTTCTGATAAGTATAATGTGAATTTCTCATAATCTTTACCGTCAATTTTTTTTTTTTATGGTAAAGAGATTGGATATCTTCAAATCACTGTGATTTACAAATAAATAAATAATTAAATAAGATAATAAAGGAATAATATTATTTATTACATTTTAAATGAGTTTTATTTAATGGGTGCGAAATTTTCCTTAATTTATCATAATACCCTCTCATAACAATTTATCATATTTAATGTCAATCAATTGCGTGTTGAAATCTGTCGGCACACATGTATAAAATTATAAATTAAAAAGTTATTTTCTTAGTGGTGGTCAAGTAAAATGATTTTTTTTTTAAATTGAAAGTTATAATTTATTTGTTCTGGCAAAAAGTATAATTTTTATTAACAATTATAAAACAATAAAACAACTTATCAAATAGTGGGAACATGAACATGTTAAAGTCAACCATCACTTATGTTGATTGGATGCGAGAAGATAGGGTTAAAGTGGCATATCCTTTCATGTTTGAGAAATAAAAAGCTCTGACTCTCATCATTTTATTATGTAAAAGTGGTTTTTATGATAAATAATGATTTGAAAGATGACCCACTTTATAGGTTACAAGTGCTAGATAGGTTGAAATTGATTGTGTTAGTAATGGCAAGGATAAGGACCGATTAGTGATTAAACCAAATATGTCATAAAGAGACATAAAAGCATCCTATTAACACCATCAAATATCAAAATATATTGCCCAATCTTAAACGGGAACCACAAGACCAATTGGATATAACATTGCAATAAGATTAATCATATATTAATAGTAGTAAAAATCATAATAAATGCCATATGAGAAGATTTTATAGGTTTATATCAATCAAAGTAATCATAAAATATTTAACTTTTGAAGTAAAATGATAAATATTTTATTTTATGTTTTTGGATTTTTCATTTTTAACACGATAAGATATATTTTGAAATTTTATATCCATTAAAAGTATAATTAAATCATAAGTTAATATAGATTTTACTTTATAAATTAATATTGGAAAATAAAATTTAAATATGCTTTTTAGTATTGTATATAACTTAAAGGTTAAATTATTCTTGTCATCTCATTCCATCAATCGTCGTTTTATAATAAATATGTAAAAGTTTAAAGTGATTTAAGATATATGAAAGCATGATTTATTTATTAATATAGATAAATAAATAGATAGATAAATAAAGAAGAAAAAAGTTTACATACATTTAAATGATTACTTTTAGAATAAAAATTAATTATATTTTAATTTATAATGAATATTTTCTCAAGTTTGACAAATTTCTAAACTTGTGCACAGTGATTTAATAATTGGTGTTCAAGCTCAAGCAACAACCTCCAAGTACATTTAATTATATGGTAATCCTATGGTAATACAGTTTTGGTTCATTAGAAAAATTATTGAAACTTCACACACAAAAATATTATTTATTGTTGTACATGCTTCAAATGTTTGAGAGAAAAAATTGGTGTTACAATAAAATGGACCACCGGTCCAATCCGTGAGTCAAAGTGTAAATTGAGTCGTGTGAATCGTTTAGTTTAACGATTTGTTTTATAAAATAATAAGTATTTTTTAAATATAATAGTAGAGCCTAACCATCCGGACTATATGAACATACTCAGGCATAATCAGTGCCATCCCTGCTAAAAGCCCACTCAAGTTCATATTTCTTATAAGAAGAGCACTACGAAATAAAATGGTTTCATAGATCGGAAGCTTTCGATACACGAGGATCCTCTTTCGAGGCAAGTGTAGAGCATACTTGCATCTAAGTGGGGAACGATACTAAGAATTATAAGCTTCAAGCTTT